CTAGATTTCTAGGAGTACAAGTACAACCATACCAACATGGTAATGCCCTTAAAACTACCTCCTGCATTATGAAGAAGCATATTTTTCAGCCACCTAACAACCATGTTGTCCTGCCTTCAATTTTTCAATGAATCATGTTGCTGCTGCCCATGCAAACATGGCACTATCATCAGCATATCCACCCTCTGGGCCATGCATGTTTGAATTCTTGGCTGATCACATACCAGAATTGTATGCTAAGGCATTGACTTAAAAGATAATTCAAGAATCGATGAAAAGTAAATAGATCATGAGTACATGAAAAACTACTCCCACCAATGCATGTTGCTGGGTAACGATGTTGACTATAGCTATTGAACTAGAGTAAAGTACATTTATCAGCAGGTTATTCCGTCTTTGACTGTGACTGTGCATTATTGTGAGTGCATCTGGCCATTGTTTGTTGCCTCTGACCTTGGGCTTAGATATCAATGTGGATTGCTCCTGAGGGAATTCTTTATCATGATGCTTGTGTATGCAGTGTTGATAACATCTCCATCAATGCCTTGATTTCTTAGTGGCAAGGGTGTAAGATGACTAAATTGTTATCTGTTGACATGGTAACTATGAATTGTATAGGTTTGCTATTTTGTTGCAGATCTTGTATTAATATATGCTGAGCTGAGATATTAGCAATTGACTCTGCATTTGAATTCTTTGATATTTTAGGAGCAGTTGCTATAGGTTTGGGGTCTAATCAAAGGATATGAAGCTTTTGAATGTCTGCATAGACATGTGACATATCTTGTCATGGTTTATGACATCAATGTTTTTTTATTGGAATAAACCCCGCCACTAATTTTTACAGCTCTCATGTGGCTGAGGTTCATCTCACTATTCTTCTGGCCTATCATTTTTCTGATCTAAATTTCTGTCTTTTCAGGTACCGTGCCATTACTAGTGCCTACTACCGAGGAGCTGTGGGTGCATTGCTTGTGTACGATGTTACTAGGCACTCCACATTCGAGAATGTCGAGAGGTGGTTAAGAGAGTTGAGGGATCACACAGACCCCAACATTGTAGTCATGCTCATTGGGAACAAATCAGACCTTCGTCACCTTGTGGCTGTCCCCACTGAGGATGGCAAATCCTTTGCAGAGAAGGAGTCTCTCTACTTCATGGAAACCTCCGCTCTAGAAGCTACTAACGTGGAGAATGCATTCGCTGAAGTTCTTACTCAGATCTACCACATTGTCAGCAAGAAGGCTATGGAGACAGGTGATGATGGAGCTGCTTCCGCTGTACCCACCAAGGGAGAGAAAATTGATGTCAGTAAAGACGTCTCTGCAATGAAGAAAGGTGGGTGCTGCTCAAGCTAGGTTTATAATTTGAGTGGGCAGGATGTGGCTGGTGTTGTTTTGTAAAATTTTCTTGAAGATAGCTACGTAGGAGATTGGGAGAGATTGATTTTTATTTAACATTCAAAATTTTTCCTGATGGCCTGTTGTTGTTAGCATCCCTCGAGAGGTTTAAAGTCTCATGAGGAACAGGATATTACTTACACTATTGCTTCTAAATGAGTGCTTCAAAAATCTGCTTAATGAATAGTGATTAAAGTTTAAAACTCTTCTGAATTACTCCCATCAGTTCTCTTCCATGCTTATAGTTATAGGCAGGGTCCAGAATGTGAGTTGCAGAGATAAAATCTCTGAAATGAGTTTAGGTAAGATTAAAATTTTTTTTAAAAAAATTGAGATTAGTCACAGGATAATTTTAAAGTGTTTGGATGATTAAATTATTTTGTACAAACCATATGAGAGTGAAACGAATATGAAGAAATCGAATCTCATGCCCCATAATGTGTTTCAATCTCACACGAACTAAAGATTCTAGTTGGAGGTCTTCAAATTGGAATTTGGAAACCTTAGGGCATGTTTCCGATAAGCCGCGAGAAGAATAGCTTCCCTTGAGTTAGGAATTTTTTTTTTTGTGGACAAACAAATCCAAACGCAATATTGTTGATTGCAAAAGGTTATCAACTTTTTTAAGAAAAATTTTTTTTTTTTTTTTGCGATTCTTTATTAGGAAAGTAATATATATAATTACTTATAAAAGGAAATAAGTGATTATAGTTGATATAATTGTTTATTTTTTCTTTGTAATTAATTACTCTTTTTATTTAAGTTTAGTAAAATTAAATTTTAATTTAGTGCATTTAAATTTATTTGTTTATTTTTTTCTTAAAATGTTATTTAATGTGTTTATTTTTATTTTATCTTTATTTTAAAATTATAATTACAACATACTGCATCAGGTCAAATTTAATTGTTTCACTTTTTCAAATAAAAGTGGTCTAATTTAATTATCACACTTTCTAACGTATTAAATGTTAATATTTCAATTTTAACCTTATCTTAAAAAAGATGAAAATATGTTAGGAAATTTTTATTTAATTATAAGTAAAGTTAAAAATAAGAAGATAAATTTTAATTATTGTAATAAATGAATTATTCTATAATCGTAGATGAATAAAATATAACAATTAAATTGAACTAGAAAGAGTATATTAATGAATAAGAAATATTATTTAAGTAGTACTTTATTACAGATAAATATTAAGTTTTATTAACAAATTATTACATTATTATTTTATTAAAAAAAAAAACCTAAACCTATTAAAGTCGAACTAATTGATTACCTTCTTTTAAAATTTTATCAAGCCTATGTCCTCTTTATGTTAATTTCCCTAAATTCTTTTTAAAAAATGAAATAAAATTACACACCAAACACGCCATAAAAAAATTGAATCCCATTTTTTATGACTAAAGGCATCTAATTTCATCATTACCAACTATTAGCTGGCATTTGTCTTAGTTTATGTATCCCTATGCAATAATGGATGGAATTAATACTTGCAATATTTTGTTCTTTGAAAAAATGAAGGTGCATTTGATCAGAGGTGACGTTACTGTGACCTACATTACGCACATGTGAATGCAAAGCTTAATATTAGCTTCCTCATCTCTTCCAATAATCACAGCTTAAAGCTAATTAAGTGTTGGATTTCATCACATTTAATAATTTTCCAATAAAGAATTTTAAAATTTGGCAAAATATTTGAAGTCTAAGATCCACTTGGGTCCCCCAATTAATCCCCTCTTACTTGGACTAACCACACTTTTTATTAATTTATATTAAGAT